TGGGGGGGGGCCGTGTTGAAGCCNTGCCATGAGAGGGGAAAGACGGGTCTCCTTTCCAAGTTTGTTTCCTCTTCATAATAAAAAATAAAACACTGAATCTGCAGGAGCTCCGTTTATCCCGCTCCCATGGACACGCCGTTGCCTGGATGNATGAGCTGGGTCCGCCAGGCTCCAGGGAAAGGGCTGGAGTGGGTAGGTCTAATTTATCCTGATGGAAGTAGCACACACTATGCAGACTCTGTGAAGGGCCGATTCACCATCTCCAGAGACAACGCCAAAACACGCTGGATCTGCAAATGAACAGCCTGAAATCTGAGGACTCGGCCGTGTATTTCTGTGCGAGAGACACAGTGAGGGGAGGTCAGGGAGAGCCACACACAAACCTCCCTGCAGGAGGCAGGAGGCTGGGCTGCAGGGGACCCCCAGGACACCAGGGGGCGCTCAGGACCTCCAAGGACACTCAAGACCCTCAGGGACACTCAGAACAACTGGGGGGATTAGGGACCCACTAAAAAGGATCCAACCCCAGAGGCAGGTGCTGGGAGAGGGGAAAGAGGGGTCTTCTTTCCAAGTTTGTTTCCTCTTCATAATAAAAAATAAAACACTGAATCTGCAGGACCTCCGTTTATCCCTCTGCCATGGACACGCCGTTGCCTGGATCCCGGCGTGAAAGAGCAGGGTGTTCAAACTCTGCCGTGATGGGCACCGGCAGGAGCCCAGTGCCTGGGTAACAGGCAGACCCTGCGGCGTCCCCCAGCTTGCGGGCGCCTGCAGTGCATCAGGTCCACCCCCCCCCGTCCACTGCCTCCATTCCCTGTCATTGCCTCACCCCACAGCCGCTGCTGCGCTCCCTCCGATCCCAGCCTTGTGCTGGGCCCTGGGAGGGGGAGCCAAGGCCGGGGCTCTCGCAGTTCCCTCTGGCTGGGTGTCCCGAGCCTCGCTCAAGCCTGAGAGGAAGACCAAGCCACGCCCGGCCGGGGAGGAGGTATAGAGGAACCGGAGGGAGTACTCTCACCAAGAATTCGTTCTGGGAAGAAAGTGGAGATCTCCTCTTAGTCACCCACTCTCAGTGGTCCCCTTGGGGCTCAGGGTCACCCAGAGACCTTTGGAGAACTCGGACTCTTGCTTCTGTCTCCATCCCCCCAGCTTCACGCTGTGGTCGGGAGACTCCAGGAGAACTGAGCTCAGAAAGGAGATGACGGGTTGCCAGCAGCTCGCCACGAGACGCATCACCCTAGGGTGTGCAGGCCTGTTCTGCGTCCTGGTCTGATGCCATATAGCACTAGTCACAGGATTTCTTCATTCAGGGAAACGGCTTGTCCCGGGGAGAACGAATGGCAGAGAACCAATGTGCCAGTTTCCAAATGACACACCAAGATGAGCCTCCAAAGGTACGTGTAATAAGCAAAAAAGTGTCATGTGATGTGCATGTCATTGGCGACGTGTGTCGTAAGCAACATGCATGTTTTGTGTCATGTACCTGTCGCATCCAGCACACATGTGGTAAGTGATGTGTGTCACATGTGGCCTCTATTGGGGGAACACATGTGTCATAATTGACATGCGTATTTTGGGCTGATACATACAATGTTTCTAGGAGCAAACTTTTTCGTGGCTGATAGTGACCGTATGTAACTACTCTTGTCAGTTGCCTGTGTTAAAAGCAGAGGCACTTAACTGTTTGACCTGCTAAAGGACAACGTCATGTTTCGGCCTCATTTCCAGGCGGGGTACTTGCGCACCACGGAGTCCAGCTCTTTCCAGCATCAGGGGATATTACCAAGCCAACTGTCCAATGTTCACGTCAAATTTACTCTCACATCCAAAGTGCATGAAAGTTCTAACGGTCCTGCATCGTCCCCAACACTGGGCATTTTTCTTTTTTGTTTCGTTGGGGGTTTTTTTAATTGATTTTAGAGAGAGGGAGAGAGAGAGAAACATCAGTGATGAGAGAGTGTCACCCATCAGCCGCCTCCTGCACACCCCCTACTGGGGGTCGAGCCCTAAACCTGGGTATGTGCCCTGACCGGGAATCAAGCCATGATCTCCTGGGACATAGGTGCATGTTCAACCACTGAGCCACACCGGCCAGGCGTGGTTTGTTTCTTACCCTGGGTCATCCCCGCGGACCGTCGTCCCAACTTTCCCTAGAGGAGGTGGAGGCAGAGGGGGATGTGACACAGCAAGACCAGGGGAGGAGGGAGCAGAGGGAAGCAGAGAGGGGCTCCAGCCACTCTGAAAACAAAGAAGGGCCTGAGCCAAGACATGTGGATGCAGCTCTAGGAGCTGGAGCCGGACAGGACCAGACCCCTGGGGCCTCTGAGAGGGCAGCCCTGCCCCTCAGGCCTGGTCCCTTCCTCTTGGGGCCAGACACCCACTCTCAGGCTTAGGCCTGTTCCCCCATTCCCTGGGCAGGGAAGCCCTGGAAGCGGGGTTGGGGCCTTGGTTCTAAGCAGAGCTGACATCCCTGGGGCTGCCTGAGCCTGTGAGAAACCCCAGGGGTTGCCTCCGATTCCCTCAGGAGCCGCCAGAGTCCCCGCAGGCCCCTCCTCCCTCCCTGGGCCTTGTGCCCCAGTGTCCCACCCGGCGAGGCCCTCCGGGGTCCCAGCAGCAGGGCCCCTGTGGCGCTGACATCTGGCTGTGACAGCAGGCGGGTCCCCTCCAGCCCAGCACACACAGGACGGGACCATGGCCGTACTGCCACCACCGGGGCGCCCAGGAGGGGGCACCCGGACACCGCCTCTCGCTGCTCGTGTGTCACCTCAAACATTTACTGAGGGCAGACGCTGCGAATGTAACGAGATTGTTCTTTAACTGATGTAAATGTAATTTTAAAACTTACCGCCAGACGGTGCTGGGAACCGCACCAGGTCCTGGGCCTGGGGTTCCTGCGCCCCCCTCCCCAACCTCCGTGGGGGACATGGGCAGGGTCCCAGGACAGGCCCACCCCGAGACCAAAGAGGGACGGTACCATCATGCTCCCCCGGGCCGGGCCACAGAGTGTCAGGGGACGGAGGCATTCAGGGGACCCGCCATCCAGGGACAGAGCTGTGGAGGCCCAAAGACCCGCAGGGACCGGGGACAGGGTCCAGACAAAGGGCTGGCCCTCGGCTCCAGGATCTCATGGGGGACTTGAGAACAACGATCCCCAGCACCAGGCCCGGGCAGCCCCCCAGGCAGGAGGGCGCTGGTGAGGCGCTCAGGTGGGACTACACACAGACAGGCGTCCATTCTGCAGAGGGAGACCCCACTCAACAGGCCAGAGCTTTGAGGCCTGATGACAACCAGTCACCCAGAATCACACAGACTCCATGCCCGGAGGGCTCAGGAGGGCGTGTCCTCGGGCGGGCAGTGCCAGTGCCGCCACAGCCCAAGGCCCCCCTTGGAGGAGCAGGAGGGTAGGTGTCCCGGAGGAGAAGCACACGGCCTCCCTGCACCTGGGCCTCCCCGCACCTGGGCCTCCCCGCACCTGGGCCTCCCCGCACCTGGGCCTCCCCACACCTGGGCCTCCCCACACCTGGGCCTCCGCACACCGGGGCCTCCCCGCACCTGGGCCTCCCCGCACCTGTTCCAGGACCTCCTGGGCCAGATAGGACTGAAGCTGCGTCAGGGAGGCAAGGCTGTGCCATCCTTTCAGATCTCCCACGGGACAGCAAGCACATTTCGGACCCGGAGTCCCCAGGTCGGCAGCAGCAGGAGCCAATTCCCAAGTAAGGGTCACCCGCTGGCCCCAGGAGCACCAAAGTCCCCATGGTGACCCCTACAAAGACTGAGAGCAACCCAGAAGGCCGCCACAATGGAGTTGGGTTCCAAACTGGGCACCGACAGCAGGCTGAGGTGGTCGCACCTTGCCCAGGAGCCTCATGACGGAGCCGGGCCTGGTCCCGTCCACCAGCCGAGTGGCCCCAGCCCTGAACCCACCCACAGCCTCCCTGGGGCCCTGGCTCGGTCCACAGGTCATCCCCGGCCCTGGGTGGGATTAGGGACGGGTCTGTGTCACTGTGCTATGTGTACTGTGATGCTAGTGGATGCTACAGTCACGGTGTCACAGGGCCCATCAAAAACCCCACCAGAGCCCAAGCCTGGCCCCACCCTCGGCCGGGTGACACCGCCCCTGGACCTTGAACGGGGCATGTCAGCATGGGCATGGTGGCACCACAGCCGTGCATCCCCAAACGCAAACCCACAGGCGGGCAGCACAGTGAAGGCGTGGCCCCCACAGCTCCCCCAGCCAGGGCCTGTCCTGCCAACTCCAGGGGACTGTGAAACCCCTGTGCCTCTTGCAGACCGGCCCCCGACACTGGGCCAGGACCTCAGGCAGGGCAGGGCCCCCCCCACACCCAGGAGCTTTTTGCCAAGGGCCCTCCCACTGTGCTACTATAACTACGGTTACCACAGTGACAGACCTGGCACCAAAAACCCAGCCACACTGCCAGGCCCGGGCCACGAGGGGTGCTCCCAAGGTGGTGGCCCTGAGCTTACTCCTCTGGGGCCGCTTTCAGCCAGCTCAGCCCCTGAGCCAGGCACCCACCTGCAGCCGGGGGGCCTCCCTGACCCCACAGGCACATGCCCACAAAATGATAGAAAGAGCCCTGGGGCTCAACACCAGCAGGAGTCAGCAAGGCCAGGGCGGCACTGGGCAGACGTCCGAGGTCAAGCTCCCAACAGNCTGCAGCCGGGGGGCCTCCCTGACCCCACAGGCACATGCCCACAAAATGATAGAAAGAGCCCTGGGGCTCAACACCAGCAGGAGTCAGCAAGGCCAGGGTGGCACTGGGCAGACGTCCGAGGTCAAGCTCCCAACAGGAAGGACCCCGGACTCCCTCAGGGAAGCTGAGGCTGGGAGTGTACTGGACGGGGCCGTGGCTCACTGATAAGCTGGGGCGGGGCGGGGTTCCCGGGGTGGGGGCACTTCCCAGCCCACAGCCAGTCCCGAAGCTGGTGGGTCGGTCCCTGGCGCGCCCTGAGGGGCTTCCAAGGGCCTCTCCCCCGGGAGCCAGGCTGTGCAGGTCTTTGGCAGGGGTGTGTCTCACGCACCAAGTAGAAATCCAACCACAGGGACTGGCTTCCAAGGAGAGCCCCTCCAAGGAGCTGGCCCACCCCTCCTCAGCAGCATGGGCACCCACTGCGCCCGGTCAGGCCGAGCCAGGTTGGTCTGAACCGGGCTGCCAGGTTCCTGGGGGAGGACGGCGTCCAGGCCTCCCACTGTCCTCAGCAGGGCCACCCCTGCTCTGGCTGCACATCTCGGCTGCCACCCACCCGCAGCACGCAGACCCCGTCCACATCCCGGCTTCCGTCTCAGGGGCCGCCCCACGAGTGGCCTTCCCGGGAGGGCGGCTCCAGACAGTAGGGTTGTGACCAAGGGTTTGTCATCCTGGGTCAGACCCCAGCACCCACCTCAAAGGCCCAGCCAGCGGCCCTCAGGACAGTGGCTGTGGGGACAGTTCCTCCAGCCAGAGCCTGTCTGGGGGCTGAGATCTTACGGCCCAGCCCTAAGCCTCCCTCCTCCCAGCCACTGTCCCACCCCTGTCCCCTGATCCCGACCAAGGCCTGCCACTCAATGCCCCCCCCAAGGCAGATATGGGCCCAGGTGAGCCCTCGGGGTGGCCCAGACCCCTGTGTAACTCGCAGAGGGTCCCTGAGGGGCTGCCCGCCCCATCCAATGGCCCGCAGACCCGCGGACCCTGGACATCAGTGTCAGGCCNCATCCAATGGACCGCAGACCCGCGGACCCTGGACATCAGAGACACACGCGATCCCCACTTGAGCCCCGAGCTCAGCCCAGGCCCCCACAGGCAGTTCTCACAGGCCAGGTCGGGCAGCTCCACCCTGTCCCCACCCTGGGCAGTGGCTCGAGCCCTGCTAGTGCCGCAGACCCCAAATCCCTATGTTTAGTCCTCTCAGCTCCCCCTGCGTCTATGAACAGGGCATTCACCTTGAACCGACCCAGGCGT